CGAGAAGGGCGGGGGGCTCTGCCCACGTCTGCGGCGCGCTGGGGGGAGTGCGCGGCGCTGGACACCGCCGTGACACCGGCACGGACAGTTCAACTCAGAAGGGAGCTCAGGAGGTTACAGCCAGTCCACATTCCCTGCTCCAGGCAGGGTGCATCATCCCCCATCACCCACATGTGCTGCACGCGGCGCTGTACGCAATCATGACACCCTCACGGACAATGCGGGTGGAAGGGAGCTCAGGAGGTGACAGCGAGTGCAACCCCCTGCTCCGAGCAGGGCTACAACATCCCCCACTGCCCGCGTTTGGTGCACACGGGGCGTGCACGGTGCTGTACACCGCCGTGACACACAAGCAGGGCTGAAGGACCGTCCTAGCTGAGGAGGTGACATCAGCTCCATGCAGCTCAGGGGTCGCATCCAGTGCAACCCCTGCCGGTCCCGACTACATCATCCCCGCCAGGGCTTTGTCTACTCGGTTCTTCAACACCCCCCGGGGAGGAGAGGCCACAACCTCCGGGGCACCTGTTCCCGTTCATAGGGAGAGGCTTTCCCCTAATAACACGCACGGGTCCTTGCAGGCGGACACTCAGCAAACGTCTGATCCCGCATGAAAGCACGGCCGCGTTCGTTCCCGCAGGCGAAGCGGTAGTGGAACGACTTTCTTCTGTCTCGCAAGAGTCCTGGTCTGCAAGAGTTTGGAAAGAACAGCACCCTCGCCAGTTCCTGTTTAGCAGCCTGGACATTTCCAACAGCCTCCTGTTTCCCAACCCTGGCGTTTCAGCACGTACAGAAGCATAATCTTGAATGAGTCTTGACCCTCGCTGCGGGCGAAGCTCGTTCTGCGTTACGGGTCACGCGCTGCAAAGGCCCGCTGCGATTTAACAGTATCGGTTAAGAGGCCGCGGGGGACACACAGAGCACGTCTGGGTTTTTTTGTTCTTGGGGCTCATCTGCATGGTGCCGCTGTCAGGAGAGATGCCCGCAGCGGAGAACAGCGTTGCCCATTAAACACCCCCCAAATATGACTGGGGGGAGAGGCAAATGTAGTCATCTGGGTGCTTCTCACGTGCGAGTGGGGAGGAAAGGCGGAGAGTCAACAGTCCAGCATACGCCGTCAGCTACAGAAGGTGCAAATCCCACCTTTAACTGGATACCAGAGCAAGTGGCATCCAAACCAGGCCTCCCTCCCTCTTCAGACGATGAACCTTTTCTGTAGCTTCTTCAGACGGATTTTAGAAGGGAAAAGCTGGTTGTTTTCAATATCCTGCAGCACAGGCAGGTCGTGTTTGTTCTGACCTAACCCTTGCAGCTCCGGCTCGGCTCGGTGACACCCGGGTGAGTCAGAGAGCCGGTTTCCAGTATCACCTGCAGGGCTCACAGAACCTGCGGCCTCTCCCCCAGCCCTGCCTTGGCTCCTCCTGGCAAAGCAGCTGCAAGCTCGGGCACACGAGGATGCTGAGCAGCGAAGGACTTTGGCTCCAGCGTGACCGCACCATCTACTGTGGCACCAGCCACGGAGGAAAGGTGCAAATTCATGTCTGGGTTGGGACTGATGGAGAAGAGTCTCCCATTGACCGGAGAGATGAAGCCTTTCTTTCATCTTCTGCAGCTTCTTCACATGGGGGAACTGAGGGCAGCTGAACGGTGGCAGAGTTAAGACGTTTAATGATATTGAAGCAGTTTTTCACAAGGTCAAATCATTCCTCTGGTTTTCCAGAAGCAGCGAGTTGGGAAACGACCTTGGGATTTTCCTCTGGCCCATCAGAGCCCCGCAGCAATCAGACAAGGCCTGGGAAATGCTAGCACCGCCCTCGAGCCTCCCGTAACCTCCTCGTCCTGCCATCCTCGACTCGTAGAAAGGAGGTCTAAGAGGGAACGAGAGTAAGAAGATAAAATGATGGATGGGATCCTGCCTGCTCTGTTAGGACGGCGTGGGATTGCCCTAATCTCAGAAGCCGGCACAAAGCAGAAACAAGCTGAGGGTGAGCCCAGCCCATCCGAGGTGAAGGCCCTGGAGGAAATGCACGTGGTCCAAGTTAAGCCGCAGTCTTACGCCATGACCCTGGCAAGTTGCTGCCTTGTAACTTGGGTTAATAAGGTGGAAAACCGCCCAGTTCCCCTAGCAGGTGGCTTGAGTGTGGATGGGGTCGGTACCATGGATCTGCCAGGATGCCAGTTAGATTCGGAAGCTGAAATCTAACCAAGGAGACTCCCCACCAACTCCAGCCCGTGCGTGAATGGGGTTTAATAAAGATAACCCTGCTTTCTTCAGAGCGTAACCTTACTCATTTTAACTCTCGGTTCTTTTCAGATGAACTTTTGCCTTGGACTGTATGTCTCAGATCAGGGCACAGATATATAGTCGCTCGTTTTCTAGCTCATGTAGGTGTCCGTACCGTTCTAGGCGCAGGCTTGACACAAAACGCAACTACAGCCCGGTCAGTGATTCACATCGATGAGCAGCAGCAGTGTGAAACCACACTGATCACTGTGCCGCCTTTTCCCCCTCCATTTACACTTCTCAGTTATCAGTCCTACAGTACTCCGGTATATCTGTCGTACATCGAGCGGCTCTCACAAGGAGCGAACGTGCGCTGGTCTTGAGGCAGCCGTGGGAACGTGGGTCCATTCCTGGTGCGTGGTGCGAGGGACTATTTCTTGGAGCAATTGCTTAAAGTTAGCGTTAGAGGTTCTCGTGGGCAAACCAATTGAGATCGCAAAGGAGGAACGTGCATAGAGCATCGCTGAACATCCAGAACGTGGCCGCTTGAGGTTTCACGAGACTTAACGAGGCACGTTAGGGGGACGTAGAATAAAGAGCACAAAGAGACATGGAAGCTCTCAAATGAAGTCTCGCCCCTTTTTTCTCAGCCTGGGGAACCCTTGGGCAGCGGAGTCGGGTGCTCTGGAGTCTGCAGATCTGGTCGGCTCCATCGCACTGACTTTACGTTGACTTGCCCATCTCCCGGGACTCGGTGGGACGCGTGCCATCTTGTTTCCTGCGGGACGCTCACCAGCAAGGCTCTCGTTTCTGTCCTCTCGGTGTCTCTGCTGCTTTGGCCGGTATCCAGTAGATGGCATCCATGTCTGACAGATTTCTTTCATCATTTTCTTATCGGAGGTCTCTTTTATGTTCTCCTAATTTCAGGGATTGTATTTTTCTATTACTCCCCCTATTCATTGTACTTCACCCCCCTCCTATTAATCCCTCCTATGAATTGTACTTGGTGTGCACGCGCGCTTTTCAGCAATTTCTGTTAGTATCTCATGGTACGTACTATAAGATGCTTGTGACTTTCATCATTCTTATTCTCTTTTGTGCTATAAAACTCATACCGCTTCAAGAGAAAACAGATATTTAAAAAGGAAAGCAGCCTTCTTCCTGTACATGTAAAGGGCATAGTGTGTATTAGTCTTTGGTTAAATCTAATCGTTTCACTTCCTTTTAATGGTCTAATCAAAAACACCACTTCTCCCCAAGGAACCTGGCCTGCCTCTGTCCTTAGACCAACACGGCTACAACCGAACACCCTTTTAATGGCACGTTAGACATGATTACATTGCATTAAACAAATTGTCCCCGTACAAAGAAATGTATGAAATGCTTTGTTCCCCGCTGGGGCAGAAGCTCACAGTTTGGGTGTCTGGAGGTATCAGGGAGTTTGCAGTATACCCAGTGCACGTTCCTAACTCCTACTTGCAATTCCTGCCCTGGTCCCTGCAGCGCAACCGACTCGGAGGCTGTGCCACAACGGAGAACAACGTGGGGCTGTCGGCTGGCAATCCTGCAAGAGTCCCTCTAGCCAGACAGAGGAAGAGCAAGATGGCCCCACCCGCATCCGTACGGGTGAGGGGTTCTTGCCTGAACGAATAACACAGCTTTGTTTAAAATCTTGCTTCCTGTTCCTGGGGTCCTGCACCACTGTCCTGACCTCGCTCGGACACTGTGCCTCATTGCCTGAGGTGTGGCGAGCACAGAGAGTTTGCTTTCCAGCTCGACGGATATATTCAAGGCAGATTTGACACCTGGACAGCCCACAGTGGGAAGCAGAGATGCTGCCAGAGCTCACAGTTTCCCTGGGGAAGGATGACACTTCATTAGTCTCCCGCGCAGGACAAAACTAGAGTATATTTTTGCGGGGGGTGATGCTGTGCTCAGCACGTGCAAGTGGCGTCGATCAGGGGCTTTGCTTCCAGCCCTGGTTGTGACCAATGGAGAGGACAGTGTTAGCTGCTTCTCAAAGCCGACGTCTAAGTGTTGTGAAGTCTGTTTTACCGTGAATTAAAACAGGTTGCGATCAGGGAAGTGGAGTTGGCCGGGGTGACCTTCAGGGTCTGCTGTGGGAACGTTTCCTTGAGAAGGGGATTATGGCTCTGAGCAGCTCCTTCTGTACACGACAAGTGAACCAGCACGTATGATCCTTGGCCCGTGTGCATGCTGGCGCACGTCTCATTACACACCTACTTCCACGGGCGGCTCTCGTTGCTCAGAAACATTTCTCACCCAGGGTAGGGTCCTTTTTGTCTATCGATGTCAGGAGGGTCGTGAAGTACGAGCTGTTCCGTGACCGCTGTGCCGGGCGGGCGGATCCAGCTCAAGCAGGGTGCAAAGAAAGGAGCCAGAATCTAGAACATCAAGTGGAAAATAAGCTTCATCCTTATCATGTTCTGAATCTGCTCTTCTCAGGTTTCCCAGGCTTGGATTACGCTCGGGAATTGACTGGCAATGATTAATTTATTCACCCGGGGTGTGCTCAGACTCGCATTTAACAAAGATCTCAGCTTGCATGCTGTTTTGCTTTCACCCGGCCATCACCGCTTGTCAGCGAGAGCCCTACTGTGTCTGTCCTCAGCACAGAAACCGCTGCAGGCAGAGGGGGGCACAGGAACGGCCCATAGTCCCTCTGCCCTGGCATCCTGTCCCAAAGGGAAGCATAAAAGTGGGGTGTCAGGGAACAACCTTCCCGGAGAAGTTTCTGCCAGGCCCGACCTTGTTATGGGCTGATTGATGTCCCGAAGTGGGAAGGATGAGGCCCCCCACAAAGCCGTGTAATGTCGAGGTGGAGGATGCCACCCGTATACGTCTAATTCTTCTTCGAATAATGTTAAGCTGAGGCCTTGGTCATGCCCTGCGGCAATACGTTTCATCAGCTAACTGTGCCATGTCTAAAGTATCGGCTCTTGTCTGTTTTCAGCTGCCTGGCTCCCAGTGACATCTCAGGGCTGAGCTTTCCTATAACACTTCTGCTGGGTAGCTCTCAAAGTCAGTCGTTACCTACGTTGTACCAATGGGGAAACCGAGGAACAGGCAAGCGGGGACTCGCTGGGTTGACCCAGGAGGCCGGTAGCACACGCAGGAACGGGAGCAGTCTCCGGCGTTGCAGGCTCGCGCTCTGTTCCCTAAGCCATGCTACACACTTGACCTTCTCGTTCGTTATTCGGCACCCCCGCCTTTTGTCTCCATTTATTATCCCCTCTGTAAACTAAGAAGCCCCTTTCACTCCAGTCTTGCTTCACAGGAAAACTTCTCCACGGCTTCTCTTTCTGCTCTAGCCTTTGGGCAGGTTGAAGGTCCTGAGAGTATTAATGCCCTCCAAGCGAGCATATACCCAGTGCTCATCATATGGCAGGACAGCCCCATCAGCATAATTTCCCACCCCAGGCCTTCTGTACCCTGCTGCACCTGGATGTGATTTTTATGCGACACCAAACCACAAAGCTTAGGTGCTCCCTGATTATTTTTAGCGGTAGTAATAGCATCCTGATTAAACGTGTGCGTTGGCCTGCCTGTACACACTTCCCTCGACCATCCCAAGACGGGAGGATGCTATCGTCTATACAGAAGTGCCCACACCTGATTCCAGGTCTGTTCTGAGTTCAGTTTGAAGCCTAGGAAGTGCACTGAGGGCTGGAGACCAGAGCTGACAGCGGCCTGGCCTCTTCCCAAAACAGCACGTGCCAGGGAAAGCAGCAGCAAATAGCCCTCCAAGGCATCTGATGCAGGTGTCAAACAGAAATGGCTTCCTCATTTGTTTTTACGAGAATTATATCAAGGCACCACTTGGACGGGGACCTGCCAGCAAAACGTGCGGCGGGCTCTGGCACCCTCTGGTGTGCAACGAGCCACAGGACACGCACAGGACACGCACCGTGGCTCGCCCCTTCCCGGTGCCGTCCGCTGCGCTGAGCTCGCACATGCACGCTGGCAGATGTGGCGCACACTCTGCAGGGTCTTCCCTTCCCTACGAAGCGCGCTTTATGGCACACTTTCACCCACTTCTGCTCGCGGGACCGTGAGCAGCCCAGCCCAAGAGGGGCCGAGTGTCCCTGGGTCCCCTGACGTCAACGGGGCGCACCCTTGGAGGTGAGGATCTGCAAGGACCTTGCGGATTATGACTGCCGCCTCCGTTCTGTTAAAGTGTAATGAGACATTCCTGTTGCTGTCTTCCCGGGCGCTGCGGTCGTGGGGCTGCCCCTGCCACAGGGACACCGATCCGACCTTTGGAAGTTGATCTCCCTCCAGGGAGCCTCTGTACCTCTGTGCCAGGGCCGGCCCAGGGGTTGAGCGTGCTGTAAAAATGAGTGTTTCCAGAATTGAGCACTGCGAGTGAGGGAGCTGGGGAAATGCGCTCTGGCTGCAATAGCAGACGTAAGGGAGGGTGGTGACGTGCCCCGGGGCCTCCCGAACTGAGATGCTTTGGCCGGCCTCGAGCGGGGAGAGAGGACCAACCATACCTCGTTCGCCGGCACCAGCGCGGCGACGCTGCCGTCTCATCTCCAACCCTCATTGCAGACCTGGGGCCAGGTCCCCCAGCACTGCCAGTCCCAGGATCTGCTCCTGCTCCTTTGGAGATCCAGGACAAACTGCTTTTGACTGGAGTGGCTTAGTGGGATCAGGGCCAGTAACATGAAGGAACCGGAGAAGTTTCTTTTTTTGCTTAAATCAGCAGTGCCTGGTACAGAGACTTTCTGGCTGGTTACTCATTGCCTCAGCTAGTCCCATAAAACAGCCAGCAACGCACAAAGAATCCCTTTCTTCCTGGGGGTGTTGCAAACACTCAGAAATTCAGCAAAGGAACGAGGCCTTGAACCCGGTTTATGTGAGTCACTTGACAGGCAATGGCAATAAAAATATTAAAATTCAGACCTTATAAAAGAGGAGGGAAAGTGCTACACGCTTCTTGACAGCCCAAGGTAAGCAGACTCTTCCCAAGGTAAGCAGCCTGGGGAGGGCTCTCGGGGAGACGGGAAGCGCAATAAAGAAGTGGGAGTCGTTTCCGAGCAGAGTTAGAGATGTAACGGCCAGTCGTTTCTTTTTTAAAGCAGAAAAAGGCTTGGCTTCCCCCCTCAGGCCCAAGCCCATCCACTGTGGATGGCCTTTTTGGAGGACCTTACCCAGGCTGTGATAGCAATTTTTTTTTTTTAATTTAATTTGTATCTACAGCCAAATTAGCCAGATCCAAGTGTCCAGAACCATAAGTGGCCCTGCTACCGGCAAACATCCTCCTCCCGCACCTGGGGCTTCAGATGTTTCCAAACCCTTGGGCGGACGTCCTACTGGCGGGCTCAAGCCCGGAGGCTCGGGGTTCGAATGCCCTCGAGTTTTGCTCACCCTCAGCAATAAGCAAGGGAGGAGACTCCCATTTCCATAAACCGGGTTTAAAACCGCTGCACCTCGGCAGCTGCTGAAACACGCGGCGGCTCAGGAAAACTGCCTTCTCAGACACAGCCAAGTGGTGGTTGCCCCTCCAGGTTAAGAAGCCACGGCGCTTGTCCTGAGCTCCAGGCTGTGACAGCAGTGACCATTTGCTCCATATTAGCAGCGGTGATAGAAGCAGTGTCTCTGCCTGCCAGGTCCCACCGGAGCACGCCAGGGATGGCCCAGCACAGCTGCCTACCTGTCCCGTACGAAGTGCCGGTGCTGGCGATGCTGCTTTTGCCCTGCATCGTCACAGGTAAGCAATGGAGAAAAGCTGCAGAGTCTCCGTGCAAGACACAACGTTCGTCGTCTGGACACGCTGACTTCTCCTCAGCACCGGTCACTGGACAGTGCTCGCAGCCGGATCCCTTCTCGGCTTGCATTGCAGTTGCCATTCCTAAAAAATGCGAGGGGTAAAGACGTGTCCGGTCCGTTTGGGGAGAACTAAGAGGCTCCTGCAGTTACGAAGCTGGGAGGGCTGCTTTTTCCAGACCATGAAAAAGTGGAAGCCTGAAAGTTTAGCGGCCTTAGAGCACACAGGCATAAAATCATGGATCCGGCTATTGTTTGTGTGAGCTCCAGTGCCGCTGTGTCTTAAAGGTTTTCCCCCAGCTCATTTGTCCACGGCACGGGTGTCTTAGGGCCTGAAGATAAGTGGCAAATTATTTCCTCTAAAATGTGTCTTGCTTAACGTGTCCTGAAGTTCCTAGGTTTGAATCTGACTCTGCAGTCCTTTGCCATGCAGACTTGAATGAAGGCCACCCCCGTGCAGTGAGGATTTAACTACCCAGTGTATCCTCCCAAATGCAATTCATGTCAGTTTTGTCCAGAAAACTGAGCATGAAAAGTCAGGTGCGCAAATGTGTAGCTGTGAAAACTAAATCCAAGCAATATTCTGGGGGGTTGAGTATTTTGCTCTCTTGTGTCCTTTTGGTGTGAGGGTTAATGCAGTGCTGTACTATATGATTTTGTCTTTGTAGCTCAGACCCTGGGAGTGCGCAGATAGAGGGGCCTACGTTTGCTAGTGCTTTTAAATAATAGACACAAACCTAGAGCTCAGGATACCTGCATTGTAGTCTGTTTTTATAAATCTTAATCAATAATGAACGTGCATGAAAAAAGTTAGTTTCCCAAGCTGCTTTTGAAAACAGAGCTGTTAGATTTAAGCCTGACGACTCTGCTGTGAACCCGCTCTGAGCTCTGGGCATTGCAAAGGCAGCAGGATGATTATTAATATAGTGCTAACCTGTGGGCAAGCTACCAATCCGGGAACCTTCCTCCTTCTCAGGTGTGGAGCTGGCTATAAATAATGAAACGTCTGACTTCACGCTGACCACGGGGCTCGGCCCAGCACTGTCCCTGTCGTGCGCGATACAGAACAACAGCCAGCAGGAACAGCTACTCTGGTACCGAGGGGACGGGGCTGTGGACCTGAAAGATGGAAATCAAATGAATGCCAGTCACCTCTGCTTGTCTCCTGTCACCGAGACCGACAACGGCGTTACCTTCACCTGCAAGCTGAAGCGGGATCAGTCCATCCAGGTCTCTGTGATTCTGGATGTCCAGTGTGAGTTGATGAGATGGGTGCCTCCAGAGAGCCGTGGCAGTGAAGAACCAGTGGCTTCAGGAGCCCACACTTCATGCCTTAGGGAGAAGATGTAGTTAGCAGGTGGCAATTAAAACACATCTTTTTCCCAGTGTAGACAGGACCTTGAGGGTGGATCCAAATTGCACTGAAATCAGTGGCACCCTTTGCATTTTCTCTAATTGGAGCTGGATCCGGCTCCTGATAATGAGATGCCCCCCTGCCACACACACGCACGCACGCACGCACAACCTAGCTTCTTTCCTGAGATGAAACATGGGGACAAAAGAATTGCCCTGGCGGTCTGTGTCTAACAGCGGTGGCCCGGCCAGTGCTGGCACTTTAGTGAAGGGGGTGGCAGACTGTTTTTCTGTTTCATTCTGCTGGGAAGAGGGTGTGCATTACATGGATAAAAGGACATCCTTTCTCTTTGATATGGGAAGAAGATGTTTGGGATCCTGATAACCATTTCACTCAAATAATTGTTGCAAACAGTTCGCCCCATGCTAAGTGGGAAAGACTCGCTCCGAGCAGAAGAGGAGGGCGACGTGACGTTGATCTGCAACGTGAAGTCCAACCCTCAAGCTCAAGTGGCTTGGCATAAAGACAACGTTGTCCTGACCCTTGAGGCAAAGCGCTACCAGATCCACCAGACCAGCGAAGTTTTCAAGCTCTCGATCACGAAAGCACAGAAGTCCGATATGGGGGTGTATACCTGCGTGGCAAATTCTTCCCTTGGAGAGGAGAGAAAGGACTTCCATTTGGTGATTGAAGGTAACGCCCGAGCATCCTGTATAACCGTCCTCTCGTCCTTTTTAAAAGCAGTGATCTTATAATGAGTCGGGGCTGCACTGTCATTTCAATGACTGCAAGCGGAAAACTTGCGTCTGCGCAGTTCCCTGTGCTGACCCCGCTGGCACAGCCGTAACAAGGGTTGGCCTCACGCTCCTGGGGCTGGGTGACGATCGCGGGGCTCCCGCAGCAAGTGCCTTTCCTGTTCCTGCAATCAGAAGTGGCTGCCTCTCAGCGTCCCCTCCCGGACGTGCGAGTTATGCTCCGAAAGCACTCCAGGGCTTGCCTGCAGCCCGTGCACACTTGCCAAGTTGAATCGCTGTAGCGATCAGTCATCCTGAGCAAAGTATTATACTTTTTATGAACCCAGCATCTCTCTGCAGTCCCCGGGGGCCATTTGCAGCATCAGGGCTTTATATCCTGAGCGCTTCAGGGAAGGGGAGCTCCTGTTTGAGGGTTGAGCAGTGCCCAGTATCGTCAGACGCTGATCAGGACTGAGGCCCCCTGACAGGGCTGGGGCATGAATGGTATGTTATACCTTGCTGGGTTTTCTTTCCTCTCATGTCCTTGGAGCAGGTGTCGAGCCAGCGGCTGGCAGCATCGTTAACACGGGCACGCCGTTGCCTCACCCTGCTCGATTCCCACGGCCTAATGCCCCAGCCTGGGAATGGCCTGCAGTGGCCGCTGGTTCAAATGTCTCATTGGTCCTCTAAAAATATCTTCCTGTCTGGTGTTGGGCTCGTCCTTCTCAAGTGCCAAACCCTGCGATACAGGACAGGTTGTCGGTAGCACAGCACGAGTCACGCTGTTAACACGGACAGGGAGAAAGCACTCGCCTCTTTTGCAACTCTGCGATGGCTGGCTCGACACAACTGCACCAACCTCTTGAATATTCAGGGTTTTTTCCTTTTTTTCCACAGATAAAAAACCTGTTTTTCCCACTGAAGCCATTGCTGCTGCAGCCGTGGTGGTTTTACTTACTATTGTTTTCGGAGTTGTGGCTCAAAGAGAAAAACTACTGAAGGTATCAAAAGCATCAATGATGGTTAATAAGAAAAAAAATCACAATGGTTTGAGGGTAGCCACTGCTGAGAGAAAAGTTTCTTTCATCTTGCAATGATTTTGGAGGAGCGGGGGGCCAACGGGAGAGTCAAACAAAGCTCGTGTTGCTTCTTGAACCTGGAGATGAGTCCGAGGTGGTGGCACACACCGTTCCCGTGGGATGTGTCTGCAGACACACGCACACAGGTCTCTGTAGTGCGGGTGTTTGTGAGCGTGTGCGTGTGTGAGAAGACACTGAAGTTTGCCATATGCAGAAATGGTAGAAACTCTAAATCGTGACCCTACTTCTTGGTCATCACGGGATGGCTCAGAATATGTCCTAACACTGAACACGGCCTTGTGTCGGCCATCGGTCCTGCTAAATCTGCCAGGCTGGTCACAGAGAAAGTGTCCCACATAAATAAGAACCCAGACTCGCTGTGACTACCCCGGCAGATTTAGCAGGACCACTGGCCGAAACACGGCTGTGCTCAGCGTGTTAGCACATATTCTGAGCTATGATGACCAAGAAGTAGGGTCTGGATGTTGTGCCGCCCTCTTCTCCCAACGTCTGTGCTGACTAGTCCAGCCCAGTGGGGTGACAGAGGCAACTGTGTTCTAGATAACACGTCATGTTGCAATCGTTTCCACCCATGGCGGTTTTCACTAGCATACAGGTGTTGCCCTGGCTGACTTCCAGTTTGGGTAACCGTGCTGTGCCTCCCAAAGTGACTCAGTTCATGTCTCTGCAGCACCTTGGAAAGAACAGTGTTTCATGCCATTGCTACTGCGACTGCCTGCAGCTTTCTCTCCCATGCTGGTGTGCGGTGATGCTCTGCATTGCCCCGCGCTGGTGGGCAGTGGTGCTCTGCACTGCCCTGTGCTGGTGTGCAGTGGTGCTCTGCACTGCCCTGTGCTGGTGTGCAGTGGTGCTCTGCACTGCCCTGTGCTGGTGTGCAGTGGTGCTCTGCACTGCCCTGTGCTGGTGTGCAGTGGTGCTCTGCACTGCCCTGTGCTGGTGTGCAGTGGTGCTCTGCACTGCCCTGTGCTGGTGTGCAGTGGTGCTCTGCACTGCCCTGTGCTGGTGTGCAGTGGTGCTCTGCACTGCCCTGTGCTGGTGTGCAGTGGTGCTCTGCACTGCCCTGTGCTGGTGTGCAGTGGTGCTCTGCACTGCCCTGTGCTGGTGTGCAGTGGTGCTCTGCACTGCCCTGTGCTGGTGTGCAGTGGTGCTCTGCACTGCCCTGTGCTGGTGTGCAGTGGTGCTCTGCACTGCCCTGTGCTGGTGTGCAGTGGTGCTCTGCACTGCCCTGTGCTGGTGTGCAGTGGTGCTCTGCACTGCCCTGTGCTGGTGTGCAGTGGTGCTCTGCACTGCCCTGTGCTGGTGTGCAGTGGTGCTCTGCACTGCCCTGTGCTGGTGTGCAGTGGTGCTCTGCACTGCCCTGTGCTGGTGTGCAGTGGTGCTCTGCACTGCCCTGTGCTGGTGTGCAGTGGTGCTCTGCACTGCCCTGTGCTGGTGTGCAGTGGTGCTCTGCACTGCCCTGTGCTGGTGTGCAGTGGTGCTCTGCACTGCCCTGTGCTGGTGTGCAGTGGTGCTCTGCACTGCCCTGTGCTGGTGTGCAGTGGTGCTCTGCACTGCCCTGTGCTGGTGTGCAGTGGTGCTCTGCACTGCCCTGTGCTGGTGTGCAGTGGTGCTCTGCACTGCCCTGTGCTGGTGTGCAGTGGTGCTCTGCACTGCCCTGTGCTGGTGTGCAGTGGTGCTCTGCACTGCCCTGTGCTGGTGTGCAGTGGTGCTCTGCACTGCCCTGTGCTGGTGTGCAGTGGTGCTCTGCACTGCCCTGTGCTGGTGTGCAGTGGTGCTCTGCACTGCCCTGTGCTGGTGTGCAGTGGTGCTCTGCACTGCCCTGTGCTGGTGTGCAGTGGTGCTCTGCACTGCCCTGTGCTGGTGTGCAGTGGTGCTCTGCACTGCCCTGTGCTGGTGTGCAGTGGTGCTCTGCACTGCCCTGTGCTGGTGTGCAGTGGTGCTCTGCACTGCCCTGTGCTGGTGTGCAGTGGTGCTCTGCACTGCCCTGTGCTGGTGTGCAGTGGTGCTCTGCACTGCCCTGTGCTGGTGTGCAGTGGTGCTCTGCACTGCCCTGTGCTGGTGTGCAGTGGTGCTCTGCACTGCCCTGTGCTGGTGTGCAGTGGTGCTCTGCACTGCCCTGTGCTGGTGTGCAGTGGTGCTCTGCACTGCCCTGTGCTGGTGTGCAGTGGTGCTCTGCACTGCCCTGTGCTGGTGTGCAGTGGTGCTCTGCACTGCCCTGTGCTGGTGTGCAGTGGTGCTCTGCACTGCCCTGTGCTGGTGTGCAGTGGTGCTCTGCACTGCCCTGTGCTGGTGTGCAGTGGTGCTCTGCATTGCCCCGTGCTGGCGTGCAGTGGTGCTCTGCAGCATATCCCAATGGCGTCTACACAGCAGCAGGGGGGAAGCCATTCTGGTGTGCTGCGCTGGGGCCAGCTGGGTGGAAGATGTTATGCTCACAGGGGAGAGTAATAAAAATGACCCTTAGTCATGCCTCTCACTCAGAAATACAGCAAGTGATAAGATTGTGTTGCTTGTGTTTGCTTTTAGTGCTTCATGAAGAAAGACGAAACACCAAGCGAAACAGCTCTGTAAGTATCCGATTCAAGGCCGGTATTTTTAGACAGAAAGCGGCACACGGATTGACCTTGTCATGAAAACCCAGTTCCAGCTCAAGCTGTTTTATTCTCTTAACTAGACTAGGAGGGAGGAAGCGCTGCCAATGTGGAAGAATGGAGCAGGACACCTGTAACCTCTGGTTTTGTGTTGTTTGTGCTGTACATGAACAGGTGCTTAAGAGGCAGTTTCTAGCCCGCTCCTATTTATAGCCAGTCTAAAAACACAATGCCTGAAACCAGCAGGAGCATGGCCTAGTAGCTAGAGCAGTGCACGACAAGTCCAGGGGCTGGATTCTGACACCGCCTTGCCTGGTGACCCCAAGAAAGTCACCGCAGTTCCCGTTTCAGTTTCCATCTCCATTAAATCCTTGCCTCCTGACCGCACAGGAGCATCGTCAGGCTTATTCAGTTCTCATTTGATCCTGGGATGAAAGGCAGTACAGAAACACTCGATGTAATTATCGCTACTATGGTGAAGGGGAGAGAACACCGTGGACGGGACTTAATTAGCTAGAGGCAGAGAAAACGTAATGAGCTGTTCTGTAACATAGGCAGGATGCAGTAGGGACCAGAGCCCATTATTTTCCCTCTGGAAGCCTTCCTTGTTAACTCACAAGTGACAAGCAAATATTAAGACAAGCGAGAAAAGGTCAAGATCAACTCCTCCCTGCTGTCCACAGATGCAGAACAACGCCGCAGCTCTCTCCGTCCCCTTGTAGTTCACCTGTGCCCAAAACATCAGTCACCCGGCGAGCAGATGCTTCTCAGTATGCCCCAGACCTAGTCTTTGGCTCCTGCCGCGGAGGATGTCAAGTTGGGCAGAGAGGCAGCGGGACAAGGGAGGGTACTGACAGCAAAACGGTCTTGCCTAGTCCATGTGGGCTCAGCCCCTCTGCCTCATGGCAGCAGGTGATTTCCATCCTTCCTTTGTGTTTTACCCCAGGTGAACAAGTCCTGAGCTTACTGTGCGTGCCTAAGAAAGACCCTCTCTAGCACCCTCGTGTTCACGGCTGGGACTCTCCCTTGCACGCCGCCGCGGCTGCTCCGAGTTATGCAGCTCCTTCTGTATTTATTGTTATTTAAAACAATGCTCACAATGTAAATGGCTCGTTAGGTATGTTGATTACAACTTACGGTTCTGAACACGTGAACGAGGGGGAAAAACACGACTGCTTCTTCCATTTGGTCTCCTGCCATGTTTATTCCTAGACGGCGCTTGCATGTCATCGGGTCATTTTCTATCAGGAATCGATTAGTCCTGGTGGAGACTGCCATGGAAATGGCGAGGAAGTCACAAACAGAAACGCGCGGTGTTCAAGACACAAATACCAGCAGAAGACAGTGTCTTAGATTGGCTCAGGGGTAGGTAACCCCTCACGTGTGCTGGTTTCAAATCCTTCCCTGGCCCACAGGATTCACAGTTGTTTAATGGGTCTCAGCCCAGTTCCCAGCACACAACCATCAAAGCATTTGGCTCTCACGTTCTCCTTTCTGTCTACGCTGAGCATCATCATGCTGTGCTAGGGGGTGGGGGGTTACTGGACTGGGTGCTGGGGCTTGCGTCTTACTGCATCTAAAAGGGAGACCGACCACAAGCAAATTCCTGACACAAGCAAATTGCTGACACACGCACACCAAACTTCACAACAGCGAGATACTTTGCATGTGAACAGAAAGCTTCATCCACAGGCACAGCCACGTAGGCAAAGGCAGAATTTCCTCCGGGAAAGCTCAGGAAAGTAATTAGACAGGACATGGGGAAGCCCCTGGGCGTGCAGGAAGCTGGCTCTGCCTACAGACACTTGTTGGAGAGCCGTGACTCAGAGAAATGTCTCAACACGAACTCTCAGCCAGGCTGAGGCTGAAAGGGCCAACGCAATCCTTGAATGGGAAGGAAGGAGAATATCAAGTAGAAGCATGGAAATGATCTAGCACCGGTAAGACAGGAAAGCTGCATCCAGTATTGCAGTCTGCCCTCGCGGAGGTCAAAATACTGAAAAGCGTTCAAAAGTAGGCCAGAAACAGGGTCCAAGGAGAGGGAAACGAGCCTCCTGATGTGAGGCTTGAGGAGCTCAGTCTATTCCAATGATCAAAAAGAGATTGTTGGGTTGACTTGAGCACTACGTAGTTACTCGTGGAAAAGATACTTGATCGCAGGAAGCTTTTCCACCTTGCTGATAGGGACAAAACAAGACCCAGCGGCTGGGCTGCAGAGTTAGACAAACTCAGCCTTGAAACGAGAGGCTAATTCCTAGCAGCGAGGGTGACTGAAAATTGGATGAGCCCAGCCGGACGAGGAAAGAGGGGGACGTGCCAACAGTGGGCGGCTTGGGAAGATCAAGCATTTCTAAAAAAAATGTGTTTTGATCACGCTTTGCAGAAAAAATTGGATTTCTTGTGGCACCGGAGTTCAAATGCAATGATCCTGATGGCCCTTTGAGTCTACAGCTCTCACTCCAATCATTGCTGTGATTTACACATTGCCTTTCCCGTCAATCTGCACGCCCAGCGGGCTCCCCAGGCCAGCAGAGCTAGCTAGGAACAGGGCAGAGCCTTGCTTCTGGACCCAGAGGACCAGGGCTGGACACCCACATAAAACCCGGGCGCCCCTGAACCTGCACAGGTGCACGAGGCTTGCTCTACCCGAGAGTAACTGGGAGGTAAAGCCTGGCATCCGGGAGGCTTCGCTGCTGCACAAGAGGGGTTTTGGGGCGAGGCTGGACGAGCACAGCCTTCTCCTGAAGTCCTGGTGGCGACTACAACGCGCCTTTGGCAACGAACGTCGGGAACAAACGCTGCCGGAGAAGCACGTCGCTGCTGGACGAGTCGGCCGGCTCTTCCAGCCCTGCGTGCGCGCCCGCGCCCGCCGCGGCGGAAAATCTTCCCCCAGACAGCCGCGCGCGCCCGGTTAGGACAACGCGTCCTTTCGATGGACTTCTTTAAGCGCGATGGTGCCCCATAAAGATGTAAACGGTAACCTTCGAGCATGGGGAGAGCGCAGGCTGGCCGGACTTTGCGCCCGCAGGGAGGGGGCAACGACCGCACGCAGGGAGAGGTCGAGCATCGCCGTTTCCTTCTGGAGCCCGTCCTGCCGGCCGCCCCGCACAGGCCGAAAGCGAGCCAGGGCTCCTCGCCGGGGCCGGACGCGCCCTGCAAAGGCCGGCGGCACCCGCTCGCGCCCCCTCAAGCGGG